ATAAATATTTCCTTATCCTTACCTGATGTAGAACCAAACTTAAAAGGAAATGGGGTGACATTTTTGACTATTTCAGTGGTCACCCAGTAGCTTCCACCCTTCCTCCAAGTAGAATATTACAACATACTTGCTACTTATCTCCAGCAGTTTGTCTTTAGCTACAGTCTTCCACTCTGCCTGGGAGAAACAAGTAAATAAAGCCCATATTTCAAGCTTGATTTACTCTGATACCTACTGTGAAAGATTATGACTCTTTAGGGAAATAAAGACAGGGTCAGGGAATTAGTGTACATAATGGTCATTTTGATAATGGGCCAACAGATGCAACTGGAAACATACTGTACACAATTAAGCATAATGCACTAATGACAGGTTAGAGTTTTTATCGCCTCTTTGCGATCGAGCAGCAAATCCAAGTTTAGCAGTAATAAAGAGTTTATTGGTGCTAAAACCAAAAGATTTTCTGACAGAGGAAAGATTTTTCCTTTCATAACAAGAGTATTAAATCCTTTGTTTACTAGGCTCTAGGAAAGAGATATGCAAAGTGGTTGTCAGATATTTCTTAGGAAAAAGCCAATTAAAGGGTAATCGAGTAAAGGATAAGAATTACCATTTGACTTCAAATGTCTCCTCTTCTCTTCTCTCTCCTGCCTCCACCTCCTAACAGCATCCTGCCCCTGTGGACGGCTTCTCCTCCAAAGAACTTCAAAATCACAGATAATGATCCAAATCCCATTTTTTTTTTTACTCATGAAAGTAGAGCAGACCCGTCATATCTTAACAATTCTGTATTTTGTAGTGCAGCAAGATCTCATCTGTAGCCTTAATTGAACAACAAAACTGTACACCTGAAATACAGATGAAAATGAAACAGAATTATTGGAGTAAAACAAAATGCTGCCCGTGGGGCTGATACAGTTTCGTGTCCTTGATCCTGTTTGAGTTCGATGTTGGGAAGATCATATTGGATAAAGGGGTGGAGGCAGCTTGTCACTGCAGGTTTTGGCTGAGTTCCTTACAATCTCACCTCTCATCAGTGCAGGGTTTGGTTTAGGGAGTTGTCACCAGGACACTTACACTCTGCATCTGAAATAAAAAGAATTAAGCATTTACTTCCTTCTGAGGTTTATTTGCACGAATGAGGCTTCTGTTTGTGGTCTGGTGGAAATACCCTTTATTAATGATGTTTCTGGGATGTAATGAGTGGGTTTGTGCCACAAATATTCCTTTAGCCAAACTGCATTTGAATTGGGCCAAACTAAAGCCACCACTTGTGCTTATAACATCAAGGATTTTCTTGCTTAGTATTGAAATTCAAGTACAAAAGTCTTTCTGGTCTATTTGCTACAACACCTCCTCTCACAGAGGTTAAGAAGAGGTGAACAGGATGAAAAGGCACTTGCAGGGCTGAAAAAAATCTTCTATGGAAAAAAACCATCTTTCATACCACAAAAAAAAAAGTCTCCTGTAGGTTGTTATGTGCATAAGGTGGAGGCTTAAGAGCAGACACATTTGCAGATGAACTGCTTTTACTCGCTTCTCCGAGACATGACATTTGTTCAGAAGATTAGCCAGGTTGTAATGTGGAGCATAATTGCACTGTGCGGATGTCCCAGAAGTGAAAACCTAATTGCTTGACAGGCCTATAACTTTGTGGTACGCTCTCACCTTGTTAGGTCCTTTTCTGATGCGGTTCAAATGCAGGCTGGCCGCAGGTGTGCCTAATTTACCTCGCAACAGAACGTGTGGAGTTTAATTGCACAGTGGTTGTTAGGAAAAATTGGTGGGTGGAATATCAAGTGACTTACTGTATGCGGATGGCAGATGGGCGGCAAGAGGCACCGCCAGATAAGTGTATAGGTGAGGTGAGTTAATAAAAGATGTAAATTTTAGCTTAAAATAGTGGAGTCTTGTGGAAGGTAATACATTTTAATTAAGATGGTAGCAGGCCCCTTTCTAACAGTGGGAAAAAAATCAGAGCAAGGGAACATCGCAAAGACTGCATTTTTCTCTGTATCAGTGTTTTAGGAACAGCTTAGCACATTTGGGAAGGCTGTTCTGTAATAAAAAATTCTACAGTTTGTGCATATGATACAAAATACAGCAGGGAGAGCCAAATCTAGGAAGGCTTGACTTCTCATTCTGTTGGAGCATTAAAGTTTGAGACATGACCAAGCAGAGCTCTGATCCAGGTCCCTGCTTCTTTCTGTGCCACAGAGACCTTGTCTCTGGAGCTCAGGGATAGCAAAGAAAATGGTTGGGATGGTAGGGATGGGTTTGTAGTGCCCACAGTCCTGGTTGGTCAGAGCAATGACCAAGCCTGTCATCTCCTCCTGGCAAGCAAACACCCTGCCTGGGAATGTGGTTTTAAACTTATGTTGTATTCCTCTAAAAATCTTGTCTTGTCTTGCCACCTGTGCTCCATGAACTCTCTGAAAGCACAGATTAAAGAATGAAATAAAATATCTCGGTATCAAGGAATGTAGTGGAGCTGAAATACAAGTGCTGCTTGTGTTCACTCCAGCCTTGCAGCCTCAGTATTTAGCCCAGTGCTCAGGGCTATCTAAATAAACTTGATGATGTCTAATTTCACCAAGAGTGGGTCCTTTTCACCAAATAATTGAACAAATACTGGTTCCAGTTGATGTTTAGTGAAAGGGTGCTTAATGGCCCTTTTTCTTTGACAGGATGTGAGCTCTCTGTATAGAAACGATTCATCATGAATGCTTCACTCTAAAAACAATCCACGAGGAGCAATACTTAGCATTCCTAGTGCACAATTCATTGGAGAATTTCCGAGCAATTTACAAACATTAGCTCAATAAGCCTCACAACACCCATTTGAGATCAGGAAAAAAAAAAAAAAAAAAGAAAAAAAAAAAGATAAGATACTGCTCCTCAGCCTCGATGTGGCACTAAGGACCTGAAAAGCTGGAGGCTTGTCCCAGCTCCTAAATCCCCAGTGGCAGGTGGTCCTGTATGTGGGCATCAGCTGGTCCTTGCACATCATTACAGTCTGTGCACTGGAAGGTGTGCAAAAGCAGAGATATGACAGAAATGTTACATTTAGAGTTATAGAACCACAGAATTGTTTGGATTGGAAGGAATCTTGAAGACTATCCTGCTCCAACAGCCTGCCATGGGCAGGGAGCCTGGCCTATATTCTGTTGATCTGGAGAGAATAAGTATATTAAAAAGCCCAAAACTCAAACACTGCAGATAAAATAAGGGGGAAGTTGTGTCTGAGAAAGATGAAATTTTGTGGACTTGCTGAAAATGTCCCTGCAGCAGTGTCCAGAAAACCTGAGCATCCCAGCTTGGATATCACATCAACCACCACGGAAATCCCGATCTTTTACAGCTTGACAGCTAAAACCCTTTTACAGGTTTTGGGATAGGGATTTTTAAAGGAGCGTGCATTCACCTGAACTGACAACATTGATTTATTTATGCTGGTTGTTTTCCTACTTGCCTCTCTGATATGAGGGATAGCTCCTTCAGCAATAGCATCTTGTAGTAATATCAGGGTCCTGCTCAAGGTTTACTGGAAAAGAAAGAGCTGGGATTAAAAGCAGTGGTTTGTGATTTGGGATAATCCCAGAATACTCTTGTATGACCTTTGAAGCTTCTCAGGAGCGAGCACGATGTGGTGCAGCCTCAGTCGTACTTTCTATTGGCAATGGTTGATTCATGCTGGGTGCTCAAGAAGGGACAAGGTGCCTGGTTTGCCTCTCGCCAGGAATGCTGTTGGCACGTGGAAATTCCTATGAGGTGTGTACAGCAAGAATAGTCGTGGTTGCTTATAAAGACTGATATGAATGAACAAATAATAATTGTTCATACTCTAAATGTGAAAGCTCTGACTGACCTCGCTGTTCAACACGTATGAAGTTGGGCAGCACAAGCTGCCGGACTCGAACATGAGGAACTCTGGGTGAGGAGCAAGTCTCGAGCTTTGCTTGTCACTAGCTGTCAGTCATTAGACAGAAAACAGACCCACAAAATATTTTTTTAGAGGTGAAACACGAAAACATAGCAACATAAAGAAAAGATGTGGTGTCAGGCTGTGAACACCCTCCTGTGTGATGGCAGGACAGTGAGGGTCCCCCATTTTGCTTCACCTGCAGGGTGGAGACTTCCCAGTTCAACTCCTTCCTCCAGTACAGGAGGGCGGCATTAAGGAGTTTCCATCTTTCCAAGCTTTCCCCTTTCCTCTAAGTGCTTGCTGTGTTCCCCTGAGGCAGCGTTGCTGCAAAAACGGTTTATGGGGAGATGCCTGGATGATAAGGGTTAGTCCTAAATAATTGCTGGTTGCCGCTCAGCAGAAATAAGCTGGATTTCGATCCCTGGGTAGAGTGACTCCTCACAGCTAAAGGCTGGCAAAGGTTGAAGAGGTCGTAAGAAAGGGCCTAATTTGCCATGTTCCTTTCCTTTCAAAAACAATGAGGAAACTGGGGCCTTGCCGGTGGGCAGATCCTGCCTGGATCTCCCTGGAGTCAGCAGGAGTTGGATCGAGTCCCTTTGAGTAGAGAGAGTTTCCAAACCGGAGGCAAAGCCAAGTGTTTTTCAGAAGATTGATCATTCACTACCTTTGGAATTTTTCAACGTAGAGGTCATTACTGCTAATATAAGTTGTGAAAAAATAAAAAGTATTAAAAAAATAGAGACAAATTCTCATCTGGTGTAAGTCATTGCCTTTGAAGTCAATGAGTCATTGAAATCAACTTTCCCACACCGAGTTAAGGATATGGCCTGGAGTCAATACATTTGTAGTTGTTGAAAAATTAAAAATATAAATTTGCCTTTCCTTGGCAATAATGTTCTGTTTATGATAGAGATTCTTATGCTTTAAAATAAGTTCATTAACGAATAGGAAAGTAATATTTCACCACCACTATTCTTTTGGGTATAACTATTTATGATTAAATTTTATTAAACTTTTTAAAAATTGGATTTACATTTTGATGAATCTAATAGATTTCAATTTTGTATTTTTATAGATTCTTTCTAAAGTTTTTCCTCAAGTGCAATCAGAACTGTTTGAAGAATGCAGGCAACCCACGAGACATGCGAAGATTCCAGGTACAGATCCCTCTAAAAACATGAACGATATATAAAAGACTTAATCACATCTTCATCTTGAACTTTTCATAATGAAAAATCAGTGTTGGGGCTTCTACTTAGTGTAGTTCCAATGCTTAAAAAAAAATGCTGTCAGTATTTTACACTTCCCCCCCTAATTTAAATTCTGGTTCTTGGGATGTTCCAAGTTCTGCAGTGGAAGGTAATGGATCAGTGCTGAAGCAAGTGGATCTCTCCTTAAAAAGTATTTCCCCAGTTTTCCTTCCTACTAACACTTTGTGTGGTAGTTTGGAGTACACTCAGACCTGCAGAGGTTTTACACAGACTGAGTATTTTGATCTTACTAATGACAGGACTGTGGAGCGCCAGGGGAGTTTGGATCTCTCACAGGGGTTTTTCAGGTTCACAACTTGTAAACCCACCAGTGGTGGCCCAACCCTCATATTTTTGTTTCAATTGTGTTAGAAAATGTTTAATACTTCACTTTCTCCTTACAGCTTTTGAGATATCCTGTGGTGAATCATAACACTACAGAGAGACAACTGACGGGATGGACAAATGATTTCCTCCGTATCTGGGGTCATTCGAAAAGGCTTGTTAGGAAATAAATGCCTTTTATTTCAAAACATTTCACAATGATTCATATTTGATTCTAATAATAAAGTAGTATTGAGATGTTCAAGATTTTCTTAGTTTGGAGAAGAATAACTTGTGGTTAAAACTTGATAGAAAAACATGTGACATCTGTTTTCATGCACAGCCAACCAACCGGGGAAGCCAGCACCCTTGAGCCAGCCAACAGAAAAGATCTGTAGCTGGGAAAAAAAAAATATTCCTTCAAAACAATTGAGCCAAGCTTCCATTTTTCATGCATCTCAGCTTCACGTGGCATCGGTGATATTGATCCATCTGAACAGAACAGAAGGTCAAACCTGGAATGAGTGGAAATGTCCTCTTTGTCTCACCGATGACTAAATGAAGCATCAGTCAGGAGCGATCTTGTGGTCGACAGTGGAGCCAGTAGGCACTAGAAAGACTTTCCTGGGTCTCTTTAGCTAATCTTCCTGCCTCTCAGAAGGTTTAACTGGACTTAACAGGATGTCAGATCTTGAACAGTATTTTTACCTGGTTTCACTGTCTCAGCACCTTTCTGGAGGTGCACTGCAGGAGGAAGGTGATATAACAAAGCGTAGCACGTCGACTTTCTTTTGCTGAACTACAGTATTTTCCCTTGGTGACTGACCTATATATACATGACAGAACAAAAATAGTTGTCATTTTCTTATACACCTTGCTCTGTCTTTTTAATACACCGTGTTCTAGGAACCAAACCCAGGAATCTTGGCTGAAAATCACGCTTGTATGTTTTGCAATATTTCTTAAAGTCTGGGAATCTCATTAGGAGTGAAAGCTGATAGCCCAGTGGCCTAGCAGCAGCTCTGCGGCCAAGGTGAGCGTGCTATCTCAGCACTCTCCGAAGTGGATGTTGACAAGATTGAAAGTGTCCACTTGTGGGAGGAGAGAGCTGGGGAAGCAGAGCAGCCTGGCAGAGAACTACCCTCAGGCTGTTCTAAAGGGTACCGCAGATGGCTGTCTCAGAGGAGGCAGGATACACAGGAAAGGTGCTGTGATAGCTGAAAGCTCATTATGGCTTGTGAATAAGAAACAGGATCAGAGGTGATCCAAAACATAGAAGCAGACAAGAATTCTCTTCTGATGCCTTGTACTAGCTCTGTGCAAAAGGAGGCTCATTTCTCCCCTTCCATTTGTGGTTTTTTTAAGTGTTTGGGTTGAGGAGCTGGTGGGAGAACCCTTCAATCGTCTTTGTTACATCCCAAAGTAAAATAAACGGAAGGTGAAAGCTAAAATTTGTCCTACCTTTTGCCGCCGTCACTGATAAGGTCTAACTCAGCCTTTGACTTTCCGGACTCTACTAACCCCAAAGAAATCGCTGCAGTGGCTCCTTCACGCAGTAAAACCTGGAACCCACAGCACAGGGCCCACGCTGGAGTATTTAAATAAGATGTAAATGTCTCTCTGGGATAATAGTGCTGGACCTGCAGAGCCGCGTTCCACACAAACACAGGCGCAGCTCCCGGTTTCCTCCTTGGCTTGTGTTCACGCGATATCGCTTCCGGAAGGAGTTTCACAGCCCCATTGTGTAGGTGTTTTTATCGGGAAGGTTGTGCGTTTTGCATATGTTCCTTTGCCATTTTCTACTGAGAAGCAGCTGGAAGCCAAAGGAGGCCCTATCCATCATCTCTTCTATGGCCGGACTCTGAACCTGGGCACAAGAATAGGAGCCTTTCACTCAAAAATAAAGGAGGAAATTCCATTGACATACCAGGGTCAATCACCATCCAAATGAACTTGAGAAGGGATACTTTTCATGGATTGAAAACACTTTCACTATTCATATTCAACTCGGTCTTTTCAGATGCAAAAAAGTTCATTATCAGACATTAAATGTAATTGTAAAACTGACCTGGAGATCATTTACTGAAGAAAAAATGGGGAGTTACGATGGTTCCTGATTTATTAAGCTTTTTTTATTTGGAATCCTCACAACCCTTCATTTGAAGACAGTCTCAAGTGAACAAATTTTAATTAGATAAACTATCTAATCAATATATCAACAGATCAATCAAAACAGTAGCTTTTAAAATGAGTGGCTAGAGGGGTGTTTCTGAAACTAATGGCTAGAAGAATATTTCCCTGAATTGAATTCATTTGTTAGCATAATAGGAGATTAAACTCTAATTAGTGTAGCAGGTTCTGAAGAGAAACAATTGTGAGTTAAAAATCACCAGTGATCACCACGTAAACAAAGATGTATTCGGAGATGTCATTCACTCGGTTTAAATAGAAATAGAAAAGTAACAGGATGTTGTTGTGTCTTACGAGACCTGATTCAGTGCAAATCTGCAGGATTTTTTAAACGTGGGGTTTTGTTCTCTCTTCCAGGTTGTTGTATCAACAACAGTCAATGTGGATGGCCACGTGCTGGCTGTCTCAGACAACATGTTTGTACACAACAATTCCAAACACGGGAGGCGGGCTCGCCGCCTTGACCCCTCAGAAGGTACGGCCCCTTCTTATCTGGAAAATGGTAGGCACACATTTACATGTCTTTTTTTTTTATTTGCAATGCCTTTTTTTATTTTATTTTATTTTTTTAATTTTTTTTTTCACCATACTTTATGTTGAGACA